GATCGAGGAGGAGGAGGAGGAGGAGGAGGAGGAGGAGGAGGTGGAGGAGGAGGGGAGGCGGAGGCAGGGGGAGGAGGAGGAGGAGCAGGAGATGAGAAGGAGGAGGTGGGAGGAGCAGGAGGAGGAGGAGGAGGAGGGGAGGAGGAGGAGGGGCGGAGGATCGAGGTGGTGGTTCGAGGAGGATCGAGGAGGATCGAGAGAGGAGGAGGAGGAAGGAGGAGAGGAGGTGGAGGAGAGGAGGAGGAGGAGGAGGTAGGAGGAGGAGGAGGAGGGGGAGGGGGCGGGGGGAGGGGGTGGGGAGGGGTGAGGAGGAGGAGGAGGGGAGGAGAGAGGAGGGGAGGAGGGGAGGAGGAGGAGGCGGAGGATGGAGGAGGAGGTAGGAGGAGGAGGAGGAGGAGGAGGATAGGAGGAGGAGGTGGAGAGGAGGAGGAGGAGGATGAGGTGGAGGAGGAGGGGTGGATGGAGGAGGGAGGAGGAGGAGGAGGGGGAGGAGGAGGCGGAGGAGGAGGAGAGGATCCGTTTTGACCGCGAGACGGCGCAGCTGCATGTGATCTCTGGGGCCTTAAGCCTGCGGATCGGGCCCCGCCGCCTTCAGGGCCGCCCAAGAGGCCGCGGACTCGCGCTGGGGTGGGACCGGGTCCCGCGCGAACGGCAGGAGCGAAGGGGAGGTTCGAGGGGGGAGGAGGAGGTGGAGGAGGTGGAGGAGGGAGGAGGAGGAGGAGGAGGAGGGGTGAGGAGGTGGTGGAGGAGGTGGAGGAGGAGGAGGAGGAGGAGAGGTGGGAGATGGTGGAGGAGGAGGAGAAGGAGGAGAGTGGAGGATGGAGGAGGAGGCGGTGGATCGAGGTGGGGATCGAGGAGGATCGGAGGAGGGATCGAGGAGGAGGAGGAGGAGGAGGTTGGAGGGGAGTAGGAGGAGGGGAGGAGGAGGAGGGGGGGAGGGGGAGGAGGGGGAGGAGGAGGAGGAGGAGGAGGAGGTGGAGGAGGAGGAAGAGAGGAGGGGTTCGAGGTGGAGGATCGAGGAGGATCGAGGAGGAGGAGGAGGAGGAGGAGGAGGAGGAGGAGGAGGAGGAGAAGGAGGAGGAGGAGGAGGAGGAGGAGAAGGAGGAGGAGGCGCAGGAGGAGAAGGAGGATCGTGCCATGGGAGCGTTTTTTTTTCCTCTCCCGTGTCGCCTCGTCGTTCGTTCCCCACTCTGTGCTCGTGTCCTCGTCATCGTCGTCTTCGTCGTCGTCGTCGCCGTTTGTCTTCGTCGTCGTCGTCTTCGTTTTTCCTCCTCCGCCTTCTCCTCTTCCTCCTCCGCACCTTGTGGGCCAGCACGGGTTTATCCCTGAGCAGACGCCTAGCTGCGTAGCGGATTCGACCTCCATGACCTGACATACCTTGCGCAGGTGCTGGAAGAACAGGGCTCGGTCTGTCGAGTTTTCAGGAAGCCACAGGTGGCAGCCCAGCCACGCTCCCGAGGCCTCGGGCAAGCCGCGCGGCATGTCCCGAGAGCGCCCGGATATCAGGGGCCCGGGCCACACAACACTATTCCTCGCAGGGAACTTCGAGGGACCTTGGGAGACTCCAATCAATGCCTACGGCACGGTGGCGGATTGCAAACAGCCTTTGCAGATGGCAGTGGAGCTGCATGACGATGAGCCCTGGTCATGAAGGGCACGTGTCATAAATGTACGGCTGCAGTTCGGCTTCTTGCGCTGTTACGCGCAAATTCATGGCAAATTCAGTGGGTGCAACAGGGAGCAGTCTGGCCAGTATTCACGCGTTCTTGACGTTTAGAGCGGTCTCCAGAATTCCCCCCGACTGGAACGCACCATTCTTTCTCATTGCTCACATCCACGACCCTCAGTAAACGCTCGTTCTCGTTTTCCTCATTCCTCCTCGCTCTCGTAATTCGCCCTCTCAGTGTCCTCCTCCTCCTTACTCATCCGCTCTCCTCCGTGTCTACAGGCATGACCTCCCGCTGGCCCCTTTTAAGCCATGGACGCCTGACGAGCGTGGCGGCTCGAAGCCCTGCGCTCGCACCTTGCCGGCGCTCGCTCGGTGGGTCTTGCCGCGGCGTGCGCGGCACTCTGTGGGTCGGCGGCGCGCCGAGGGGGGGAGCGAGAGGGGTCAGGGCCCTCTCAGAAGGCGTGCTGGGGCTTCTCGGAGGCCCCTCGGGCCCCGGGGTTTGTCGGAAGGCCTGCTGCGGAGGCGTGGCCCCTCTGCCTTCCCCCCAGGGCGCGCGGCCGGGTGAGCTCCTGGAGGGTCCCAGCAGAACGCAGTTTTAAATTTTTGAACAGCCACGGACCGCGTGCGTCTTTGGGTGCTGTCCAGTCGTGTCAGCACCGCCGCGGAACGCCTGATGCTGACACAGTCTTGTTCCTCCTGGCTGGGAGTTTACAAGGGAGCCCGTCTGGCTTCATCTTGAAAGGCTTCCTCTTCAGTGTGTGTGTGTGTGTTCATGTGTGTGTGTGTGTGTGTCCTCCTTCCATCCTCCCTCCTCCCCTGCGCCCTCCCATTTGAGACCCCCCCTCCTCCCCCGCAACATGACATCCTCGCGCGGTGGAAAACCACGAAAGGAGGCTTTCGGAAATATTCGGCCTCCGGGGGTCATGCCGGTCCCCGGGGCAGTCCAATATCGATTCAGGACGATCTCTAAGAAAGCCCCCAGACCTCTGGGGAGCTTCGTCTTGAGCAGATCACGACGTCGGATGTTGTGATTTGTTCTGAACATGATCAGCCCGAGGTCTGATCTCTTTGAACGGGGCTGGCTTCTCGACCTGCGTTTGTTTTTTTGGGGGTCGATGGCTCCTTCTGAGTCGTTCTTTGAGGGTCTCTGGCCCTGCATGGGCGCCCCAGAACCCGAAGATGGCCAATCACACTCCGTCGCGTTTATTGCGAAGGCCTTACGGCCGGCGCCGCCGACTCTGAAGCCGACGAAGATGACAGCGAGCGGGGGGGCGGGTTAGGAGGCGGAGTAAGAGGAGGAGTGGGGGGTGGGAAGAGGAAGGGTGGAGGAGGCAGATGAGGGAGGATGAGGAGGGTATTCTCTGTTTTTTTGGGGGGGCAAATGCTTTAGGGGGGGGGGATCCCGCAGCAGGAGGGGAAGCGGGGGGGCTCAAGACGAGCACGCCGGGCAGCAGCAGGCCCCTCACAGCGGGGCCAGCCTGCGGCGGCCACGGGCTGCGAAGCCACTCCTGCTCCTCCTTCCTCCTCCTCCTCCTCCTCCTCGTCGTCTCCTCCTCCTCCTCCTCCTCCTCCTCCTCGTCGTCTCCTCCTCCTCCTCCTCCTCCTCCTCCTCGTCGTCGTCTCCTCCTCCTCCTCTTCTTCCTCCTCCTCTTCGTCTTCTCTTCCTCCTCCTCCTCCTCCTCCTCCTCCTCTTTCCCCCTCCTCCTGGTCTCCTCCTCCTCCTCCTTCCTCCTCCTCTCCTCTGCCTTCGCCTCCAACTTCTGGGAGTCTATTTCCAGATTGGCCCTGCTGCATCGACCATCTGGTGCTTCCATTTGGGCGCTATCGGGGTCTCTAATCAAGATCTGATCACCCATAAGGTAGTTGTTTTTATTTTTTGTTTCGCGGATCGGTGCTGGTCCCCTCGCCCTCCACACAGTAGACCAGATCTTGGCTGCTTTTGGCGACTAGTCAGGACAACCCCCAATTCTGCTTGCTTGCGCGACTGTCTCAAATGGATCGACTAAGCACCAGCCCAGGCCCAGATCCCCCACCCTTCGGCCAAACGCCGAAACCCAGAATAAAAGAATGCTTAAAGAACCTTCTGCGGCGACCTCCCCACAGACATCCAGCGCTTCGAGTTGCTCGATCCGCGAACTCCAGATCTCTCGACCCGTTCCCCAGGGCCGTGTTTTCATCCAGAGTTGTCTGTTGACGGCCCTGGGGACCGAAACTGCCTTCCACAGAGGCCAACAGTGTACGGTAGGTTCGCGTCGTGTCAACCGGCGGCGACCCCGACGCGGGCGTTCGAGGTTGAACGCCGCCAGTGGCCCTACGTGGAAGGATCGGATGATCGAAAAACCGCCAATCTTTCAAGGTTGAACGGTCCCCGCGGTATCAGAAACCAACGCCGGGGTCGTCACGATACGAACCTGCCCCCCAACCGGCGGATTTGGTAAGGAAGATTCTCAGTAGTCCACGAGTGCCCCCAGATGGTCAAAAATAATAAAACATCGCCCCCATATTATTTTTGGACCATTTTGGAATCTTCTTCCTGGTGAGGGACACGCCCGACCTACAACTACCCTCGAGGCGCCAGATGCCTGCGTGCCGGGGCCGCGCACGCTCGCACCAGCGGCCAGCGGGCGCAGTCTTGAGTCGGGTACGTCCCTCTGCAGGAGGAATGCCCAAAAATAATCAAAACGTAGTACGGGGACTATTTTTCGATTATTTTTGGTGTTTAAATCTATAGGTTTATATAAACACACATATATATAATGTTGGGTATGTTTGACGTTTCGTCCAAAATCCGCCTGTAGGGGGACATGCTCGACCTAGGGGCAGACCCGATTTGGAGAGGGGAAGGGGGAAGGGGGAGGCCTCCTGGCTACCATCTTCGATGCTGAGGTCTGAGAGGAGGAGGGGGAGGGGGACGAGCGGCCGGGCCGCTCGTATGGTGCTCGATGCAGACGTGGCATCTTGTCAGTAGCGTGAAGTCGGCCCTGTTCCTCGACAGGGAGAATATTCAAAAATAGTAAAGAGAAATTGCCAGGGGACGATTATTTGTGGTATTATATATATATATATGTATGTATATATCGTATTTCCAACTTTTCGCCCAAAATCCCCCTGTAGGGGGACAGGCCCGACCTAGCAGTAGAGTAGCGTAATGCTTGTAGTGCCCTTGTCCCCAACGCAGTGCCGTCCCTTGACGGTATGCCGACAGCATGCTGGTCGAATGGCTTCGCCTCTGCGGCTTCTGCCGAGTCCTAGCTCTGCCTGCCGTGGATTCTCGGCTATCCCCCCATCGGACCGGAGTCTGCAGGACGTCGATCTGAACTACTACAGCCATATCCCAGATCACCTCGTTGATGTTCTGGGTTTGGGCCCGTGCTTCTTTCGCTTTTCACGTTTTGCCACTGCTGCTCCGGTAGCTGCTGGAGATGTGTCCCCGTGTTCCACATGCAACCGTACTCGAGCTCTCGGCAGGAGGTCCCCGTGGAGGTCCCCGTAGCTCTGCCCGCTGCCCTTGGAGCCCAGCTCGTGGCCCTCCTTGCTCAGCTGTTGGCCCCAACCGTACTTTCTCGTCGGTCAGTGTGTGGCCCCGGTAGCTCCGCTGGTGGCTCTCGTAGCTCAGGAGGTGGCCCTTCTAGCTGAGCTGGTGGCTCCCAGAGTTCTGCATCTGGGCCTTGCAGTTCGGCTCGTCTCCGTAGTAGTCCTGCAGGAGGCCCTTGCAGTCCTTCCTATAGCCAGCGCAGTTCTGGCAGCTGCCCTGGCAGCTCAGCAGGTGGTCCTCGCAGCTCTCCCAGCTCAGCCGGCGTGCCTCGAAGCCCTGCCCGCAGTGCACGGAGACCTGCTGGTGGCCCTGGCAGAACAGCGCGTGGTCCCAGTGGCTCCGCACGTGGCCCTCTTGGCTCGGCTGGTGGCTGCTCTTGTTCCGCATGTGGTCCTTCGGTTCGGCTCGTCGCCCCGGCAGCTCTGCGGGATGCGTTCGCAGTTCTGCTTGTGGGCCGTGCAGCTCAGGCAGGGGCCTCCCCGTAGTTCGGCTGCTGGGTCTCGGAGTTCTGCCTCTGGCACTTGCCGCTCTGTCTGTCGCCCTCGTAGCTCTCGCAGCTGAGCTGGTGATCCTCGTAGCACAGCTGGCGCCTCTGGTGGCTCAGCCTGTGGTCCTCGTGGCTCAGCTGGTGGCACTCGTAGCGCAGCAGGCGGTCCTCGTCGTTCAGCTTGTAGTTATTGTAATCATGCTTGTGGCTTTCGTGGGTCAGCTTGCGGTCCTCGTTGCTCAGCTTGTGGCTCTCGTGGCTCGGCAGGTGGCTCTCGTAGAACGCCAGGTGGGACCTGTGATTCTTCTGGTGGCTCCCGTAGCTGTGCCTGTGGTCCTCGTAGCTCGGCTGGCGGTCCTTGCGGTCCTTGCAGCGCAGCTTGCAGCTCTCGTGGTGCTGCTGGTGGCTCTCGTGGCTCGGCAGGTGGGACTTGAGGCTCTTCTAGCGGCGCTCGTAGCTGTGCGTGTGGTCTCCGAAACTCCACTGGTGGCCCTGGTCGCTCTGCTGGTGGCAGTAGTCGCTCTGGTATGGTTGCCCTCGTAGCTCAGGCAGTGGCCCAAGTAGTTTTCCAGGTGGCCCTCGTAGCCCTGCTTTTCATTCGTAGCTCAGCTCGCGGTCCTCGTAGCTCAGTTTGTTGGTCTCGTTGCTCTGCTGGCGGGCCTCGTAGCTCGGCACGTGGGACTTGAAGCTCTTCTGGTGGTCCTCGTAGCCGGTCTTCTGGTCCTCGTAGTTCGGCTTGTGGTCCCCGAAGGGGCGATCCGGGCACCCCCAGGACAGCTCTCGGCGAGGCGCAGCTGCTGGTAAGCATCCCGAGGACGAACAGCCGCCGAGAACAGACGAAAACGTCCAACAACCTCAAACAACGCGGTGTGGTCACCACCCGAGGCGAATGCGTGGGCGAAGCCCGCGGGCCTCGCGGGCCGGGCCCCTGGGCCGCGAACCCGCGGATGCGGGGCGTTCTGCTCGAACACGCCTCGTGTCCGTGCGACCTCGTATCCGCGGGATCGCGACCCAGACTCCAGACCACCAGGGCGCGGATACGAACGTGTTCGCCGCTCGTGGTGAGGACCCCCCTCTTCAAGAGGAGCAGGAGGAGGAGGCGGAGGAGGAGGAGGAGGAGGAGGAGGAGGAGGAGAATGTGAATGAGGAGGAGGAGGAGGAGGAAAAGAAGGAGGAGGTGGAGGAGGATGAGGAGACGGAGGAGGAGAAGGAAACAAAAGAAGAAGAATAATAATATGATGATGATGATGATGATGATGATGATGATGATGATGATGATGATGATGATGATGATGATGATGATGATGATGATGATGATGATGATGATGATGATGATGATGAGGAGGAGGAGGAGGAGGAGGAGGAGGAGGAGGAGGAGGGATACAAGGAGGAGGAGGAGGCGGAGGAGGAGGAGGAGCACCCTTACCACCCATTCGCTCGACTCGGTGCAGGTGGAGCCGACCGAGCGGCGCGCGATGCCATGGGGCGGCTCGCGGACGCGGCGCGCGGCAGGCGGGCTTGCCGCGCGGAGTGCGCTGGGTCGGCCCTCCCTTCCTCCATCCGTTTTTCTCGGGGGCAATGTTTGGGGAGGATGCATGTGGAATTGATGGTGGGGATGGAAGTGTACCCTTGCATCCTTGCCTCCTCGGCCCATCCGAAGCCCCTTTCGTTGGCCAGCCCCCCATCGAACATTTTCGGCATGGGCGCCCAAGGGGCTTGCATCACGCGCATCTTTACTATCGGTTTCGACTACAGTCAGCGCGCCTAGTAAGGACGCGCGCCTGCATCTAGGGTACCCTTGTGTCCTTG